CAGTTTAAGACTGGGATTAAGACTTTCCTTCTTGATAAATCCTATAGTTAGGGTCGGCTTGTTATGCTGCTATAGACTTAGACTACTGGAGGACAAACTGACCTCATTTCCTTAAATGAATTGTTAAAACTGAATAGTTTTCATTTGATACTATTTCTATCTTAACTTGTGATTCTTGACCTGCCATTGTGTATCTGTTCCTACCAAACCCAGCCGGTCGAAGCAGATGGTCCTCTTGTCCTGATCCTGGTTCTGCTAAAGGTTTCTTCCTCATGAGGGAGTTTTTCTTTCCACTGTCGCCTTCATGCTTGTTCAAGATGAGAGTTCAGTGATGGAGTTAAACTCAAAGCTGCTCCTCAGATAAATAATGTTAATTATTTTATATATGAATGTTTCTGTTCAGTCCCGAGACGACTTCTGTTGTGACTTGGTGCTATAGAAATAAACTGAATTGAATTAACTGAATTAAATAATGGGCTAATAACAGGTTAATAACAGGCTACGAACAGGTAAATATGAGCTAGTAACGGGTAATTATGAGATAATAGCAGGTAAATATAGGACTGGGTACCTTTCTAAAAACAATCGGTATTGGTACCGGTGTCGGTACCTTCACTTTGGTGTCGGTTCCTGGACGGTTCTTTTTCGGTACCAGTTTTATAATTAATATTAATTCTAACAAGAATAAAATTACGTTACACATTACAGTACAAATCATGAGTATTTATTTTTTAACTTTGGTATTTCTATTCGAAGCAGTTTTCTTACATAAAAATAAACAAATTATTTCTAGTTCAAAAGACCAGTTTCAAACCAGTGACACATCAGTGTCTAATGTTCACTGCTACACACTGAGGACCTTTTCACTGAACAGTTTTTCTTCAGAAACATCAACATGTCTGTTTTCTCTGGACACAAACAAGATGCTCCTGGCTGATGGTGTCTCCAGAAGGAATGTGCGATATGGCATAAAATTCATATCACGATATGTATTGTGAAGGGTGGCAATAACGATATATATCGCAATATGTTTTTGTATAAAACTTGCAATAGGAAT